CTAGGCTTTGCTGTCTCGATGTGGCCAAAGTACTTCAACTTTGTCTCTAGTATCCTTCCCTCCAATGAGCAGTCGGGCTTTATTTCCTGGAGGATGGACTGGTTGGATCTTCTCGCAGTCCAAGGCACTCTCAGAACTTTCCTCCAACACCACAGTTCAAAAGCATCTATCTTTCTTCACTCAGCCTTCCCTAAGGTCCAGCTCTCACATCCGTAGGTTACTACAGGGAATACCATGGCTTTGACTAGGCGGATCTTTGTTGCCAGTCTGATGTCTCTACTCTTCACTATTTTATCGAGACTGGACATTGCTCTCCTCCCAAGAAGTAAGCGTCTTCTGATTTCTTGGCCACAGTCTGCATCTGCAGTAATCTTTGCACCTAGAAATACAAAGTCTGTCACGGCCTCCACATTTTCTCCCTCTATTTTCCAGTTGTCAATCATTCTTGTTGCCATTTATATTACATTTCTAACAGAACAAAACAAACAAACAGACAAAATACAAAGTTTGTGAGTTTGGTAGTTGATTAAATGTCCTTTGACCAGTATCAGGCCACTTGGAGTGCTTCTGGTGTTGCTGCAAGAAGGTCCTCCATTGTGCATGTGGCAGGGCTTAGGTTGCATTGCAGCAGGTGGTCAGTGGTTTGCTCTTCTCCACACTCGCATGTCGAGGATTCAACTTTGTAGCCCCATTTCTGAAGGTTGGCTCTGCATCTCGTGGTGCCAGAGTGCAGCCTTCCAAGTTGCCCAGTCTTCAGTGTGCCCACGGGGGAGTCTCTCATTTGGTATCTGCCATTGGTTGAGGTTCTGGGTTTGAGCCTGCCATTTTTGGACTCTCGCTTGCTGAGGTGTTCCATCGAGTGTCTCTGTAGATCTTAGAAAACTATTTCTAGATTTAAGTCGTTGACGTGCTGGCTGATACCCAAACAGGGGATGAGCTGGAGATGTCTCTGCCTTGGTCCTTTCACTATTGGCTGCTACTTTCTGGCGGATGTCAGGTGGTGCAATACCGGCTAAACAGTGTAATTTCTCCAGTGGTGTAGGGCGCAGACACCCCATGATAATGCGGCATGTCTCATTAAGAGCCACATCCACTGTTTTAGTGTGGTGAGATGTGTTCCACCATAAATAAACAGAATAATAATAATAATAATAATAATAATAATAATAAAGTAGATCCATTCAATGGATTATTGAATAGTAAATCATAATCAAATCCCAGTGATTCAATGGGGCTACTTTAGGTAGGATTGGTAACAGAATTTAGATTGGGATTTTCATGGTGACCTTTGAATCAAGAGAGTAGTTTTCATCTACCTTGTAACTATGGTTTACTAATTGCTTTGTTTTCTGGAGAAAATTAACAAACTCCTATTTTTTCAAAAAATTCCAGTCTGTGTCCAGACAAAATTCAAAGTTTTGGCTGCAATTAACAATTGAGTCCAGACTCTGTAAACAGCCACATCTCCCTCTATAAGCCATCTTGAATTTTGAACCCCTTTGTCCCACTTTTATTACAAGCTCATTGGGAATTTAATGCAATATTAAAATCTCTTTAGCAGGCCTATCCAGATGAGTTTTAAATTATGAGTTTTTAAATTAGGAATTGATTGTTTTTATATGTATAATTTTAATTAATACTAATGCTCTTTTCACTGTTTGTATATTTTTAATTAATGCTCATATTTTAACTGTGCTATGTGTACATTTGTTATTGTTTTTTCATCTACTTTTCCCCATCCGGCAGACAAAAATCCTTTTTAGATAGGCTTATTGGCAATTAATTGTTTGCTTTGGAAGGGTTTTTAATGCTGTTTCTACATTTATTCTCATTGTTTTAATATGCATGTTTATGTGTGTGTTGAAGGAATTAACAAACAAGATTCAAAATATAATAAAAGCAAAATGTTTTTTATTATTTTGTTAGTATTCTACTCTTGTGTTTGTAAAATAAATCCTGTTAAATTCATGGGGTCATCATAGTTGACAGGCAGCTTGAAGGCACATCCATAAACATATCTATTTGTGTTCCTCAGGGGAACCCAGAGTATCTAACAGCCTACATAAAAAACAAGATAGAAATACATATAATCACAATTTACCAATATCTAATGAGATGCCACAAAAAACCAACTAAAGCACTTGCTTATTTGGTGAAAACTCTTACAAACAAACTCTTATAACCTGCGTGACTGCATCTCCGTATATGAACCCACGCGATCTCTCTGATCATCTGGAGAGGACCTGCTCACGATCCCACCTGTGTCGCAAGCACGTTTGGTGGGGACGAGGGACAGGGCCTTCTCTGTGGTGGCCCCCTGACTCTGGAACTCTCTCGCCAAGGACATCAGACAAGCCCCAACGTTGGCAGTCTTTAGGAAGAGCTTGAAGACGTGGCTGTTCCAGTGTGCCTTCCCAGAATAGGAAACTCCTAGCATCATGTCCCAAATGCACTTTACTAGAGATTTAAGATTTCATTTATTTATTATTTATTTAAAAGTTTTGTATACCGGCCTTCTCACCTCTCTTGAGGGACTCAGACCGGTTTCCAACCATAATATCACATACAATCAATAAAACATCATAATACATATTACAGTAAAACATTAAAACAGCAATTACAATCAATAACTATAATGGTCAGTCGTCACACTAAAATCGTTGTTCATCATCCTCCATCCATATCTCAGGGTGTTGGCTCACTCGTTGAATGCCTGTCTCCATAACCAAGTCTTCACCTGTTTCCTAAATGTCAGGATAGAAGGGGCGGTTCTGATCTCCAGTGGGAGAGAGTTCCAGAGTCGAGGGGCCACCACCGAGAAGGCCCTGTCCCTCATCCCCACCAGACGCGCTTGCGAGGCCGGTGGGACCGAGAGCAGGGCCTCTCCAGACGATCTTAATAATCTTGATGGTTCATAGGGGAGAATATGTTCGGAGAGGTAAACAGGGCCGGAGTCGTTTAGGGCTTTATAGGTTAACACCAGCACTTTGAATTGTGCTCGGAAGCTAATTGGCAGCCAGTGGAGCTGGTGTAACAGCGGAGTGGTGTGCTCCCTGTACCCAGCACCCGTTAGCAGTCTGGCTGCCGAGCGTTGGACTAGCTGCAGCTTCCGGGCAGTCTTCAGAGGCAACCCCACGATTGTCTGCACACCGCACGTATCTCCAAAAGCCTATCCATTTCACCTGCCATGTCCAGCATTTTTTAAATTTTATTCATTACATTTGGCCCGGCCTTAGTTTTTAAATTCGTCATGGTGTTACTGTCTAATGTTTATTGCTATTGTTTTAATGTTTATTGCTTTGCTTTATGAGTTTATTTATTGTTGTATTTGTTATGCTGTTGTTTTATTGATGTGTTGGGCCTCGGCCTCTTGTAAGCCGCACCGAGTCCTTCGGAGATGTTAGCGGGGTATAAATAAAGATAATAATAATAATAATAATAATAATAATAATAATAATAACAACAACAACAACATCTGAAAGACAACTGCAAGGAGGACAACTATGTCTCTCATTGAATGAATTGTTATCACTGGGTTTCAGAATTCCATTGGAATTTCAGATGGAGTCGCTATGAATTAATAAGGACTTCTTTTTAAATAATCTTTATTACAAATTTCAATATACATAAAAACCTAGGGGAAAACGGGGGGGAAGAGTGGGTGGGGGATGGGTGGGGAATGGGTGGGGAGACACTTGGAAGAGGTATAGGGGGGTGTGGATGAGGGGAATAGACGAGGAATAGATGGGGAGGGGGGTTGGGGTAGCATCGTGGAAGGGGGGGGTTAAGTTACAAGTACTTCCAGGTTGAACAGACAGGTAATTATTTCTCTTGTACAAAATGGCAACTGATAATATATCAGGTTCTTTTCCATGGTAGTCGAGGTACAGCTCAAACTTCGTAAATTCTTATCTCTCCTTTTCAAGATAATCCATGAAGTTACCCCAGTCTGTGTTTTTCCTCTTGTTGCCATTGACTGTTAGTCTCTGTGTCAGTAAGTCCATGTTCATCACATCATACACCTTCAGCGTCCATTGATCTGTTGTAGGAACCTCTCTGGATTTCCAGAGATGGGCCAGTTGGATTCTGGCCGCTGTCGAGAGGTGGAAAAAGATCTTGCTTTCATTCCTATCTAGGTCAAAGTCAGTAATACCCAACAGGAAATATTCAGGTTTTAGAGCAAATTTCTTTTTTAGATTTTTTTCTGATTCTTTATGAATTACACGCCAAAAGGCTTTCACTTTCTTGCACCCCCACCACATATGTATAAAGGTTCCAGTGGTTCTTTTACATTTCCAGCATTTCGCCCCCAATTTCCCTTTACTGAATTTAGCTAGTTGTTCTGGGGTCAGGTACCATCTATAAAATAGTTTGTACCAGTTCTCTTTATAATCATTGGAATATGTATATTTCAATTTTTTTGACCAAATTCCCTCTCACTCTGTAAAGTTGATTGAGTGGCCTAAGTCCTTCGCCCATTTCACCATATTGTCTTTCACTTGTTCTTTTTCTGTTTCCCACTTAAGTAATAGTTGGTATATTTTCCATATGTGTTTGCCCTCAGATTGTATGATTTTGTCCCAAAAGGACTCTTCTGTTTCGAAACCTATCTTTTGATCTAGGTTGTAACTTTCTTTGATCTGGTGGAACTGAGACCATGAGAGTGTAGGGTCATGCTTTTTTAATTCCTCCTGGGTTTTTAGGAATAACTCATGTGGGGTTCTTTTTATTATGTCTTTATAAGTCAGCCACTTTTCTCTGCTGGCCCCTCTAATTTGGCTGGCCTCATTTGGGGAGAACCAGAGAGGGACTTTTGTGTGGAATTTGTTTTTATAACTTTCCCAAATTTGGATGAGTGGAGCTCTTATGAAATGGTTTTTAAAATTTCTTTCCTTCTTTGCTTTCCCTCTCCATAAGTAATTATGCCAGCCTTCTTTAGTACTTTAGTGCATCCCAAGACACTGAATAAAGATTTTCTTTCCTTTTTCTTTCCTTTTCAGGGCCGCATCTGCAGAAAAGCTGGGAAATCAAAAAAGTCCTTCAGTCGTAAGGAAGCCGAAGCAACTTTTAAGAGCCTGGTGAAGACCCACGAAAAGTATGGGTGGGTCACTCCCCCCGTGTCTGATGGCTGATACAACTTCAAACCCCCACCTCAGACGCTAAACAAAACAACGACAGAAATTAAAGACTCTTTGACATTTCCTCAATGCTGTATACCACATCCATCCTTTTTCTACTTCAGCTTCTGTTAGATATCATGAATGTCATGGAGACATCCAAATTATTTATGAACAGATCTGTTTGCAAGGGGAGGGAGGGAGGGGGAGGGAAGGGAAATGAAATGCTGTATACGATTATATTTTGAAACTGGTGAATGATCAATTGATCATCTTTAAGTCACTTTAAAAGAGATGTTGAGATTGTATCACTTGCCCCGCCATCCCCTGCCCGACTTCTCCATCTGAGCCACACATTTTCGCCTGCTTTTCCCCATGGCACAGCAACACCAACCAGCAGTACTGGAAATCCCATCCATTGTTGCTTAGTTCATTTAAATGTAAACTGAAGCCGTTAATATTTAAATAGAAAAACAGTGCATTGCAGATCCATGTTTGCTGTACTGTTTTTAATCTATGTTTTCAAGCAGGTCAACCTAACTTGAAGGTGTGTTTTTTTTTCCTGTGGAGCTGTGGTCTGCTGTGGCTAAATTTTAGACCTCATTTGTGCTCTGTAATATGACCTTTGGTTCATAACAAAAACAGAATTCTAGCAAAGACACAAACTCTAGTGGGTTTTTCTTTTTTAAAAAAAGCATCCAGTTGGGCAAAATGTGCTAGCTATGGTGGTATTGTGTGCTGTGGTTCAGTAATAAATCCAACGTGATCGTATCAGGATGAGCTGAAGGCGGCTTAGGTACCGGATGAACCCATGCCAAGGAGCTGTACGAAGTTGGTGGCCAAATACTTTATATTTTCCCAGTTGGATGAGGTACGCTAGAATAGTATATTTACCTGTCCACTTCTGCAACAGCCAAAGTTAAACAAAATGCAGAAGAATTTGTCTTAAATGTATGGTACTCAGTTCAGAATGATTGGCCAGTTACAAAACCTATGTCAAGGTTTTCGAGGCATTTTTGTGACTATTTGCATGTCTGAATTTTCCCATCCCCCCACATAATAGACAAAGTACATTGAGCCCGATGTCAGAGAAAATCAATTAATATAAATAAATGTCCAGCAGCAGGATCCCCAGGGATTCACATGCCCTCTTCTATTGGAACAAGTTTTTAAGACTTCATCTAATGATCTTAATTATACAAAAGATGAGTTTGGAACATGGAACCCCAGTGGAGAATTGTGTTGGACACATTTTAAATAAAGTCAACCGAACCATGTGATTGCCTCGAGATTGAAATCATTGTTTTTGAAGGACAACATCATAGCATTAGCGATCTTACCAATCTATATTAGCAGAGGCAGCTGGAGTGGTGTATGACATTTGGGTTGGATGGCAGTGGGTGGTGATGCAGCAAGCCCAGCCTCTATGGCAGTGGTTCTCAACCTGTGGGTCCCCATTTGTTTTGGCCTTCCAGAAATCCTAATAGCTGGTAAACTGGCTGGGATTTATGGGAGTTGTAGGCCAAAACTCTCCAGCAAAGGATCACCGCCTTGTTGTGGCTCTGGAGCTTGAGCACCTCAATGATGTCATGAGCGAAACCGTGAAGGGCCACCCAAGACGGGACGGTCGTGGCAGAGAGGTCAGACCAAGCGTGATCCCTGAGGAAGGCAATGGCAAACATCACACTGGCAACAAAGATCCGCCTAGTCAAAGCCATGGTATTCCCTGTAGTCACCTACGGATGTGAGAGCTGGACCTTAGGGAAGGCTGAGCGAAGGAAGATAGATGCTTTTGAGCTGTGCTGTTGGAGGAAAGTGCTCAGAGTGCCTTGGACTGCGAGAAGATCCAACCAGTCCATCCTCCAGGAAATAAAGCCCGACTGCTCATTGAAGGGAAGGATACTAGAGACAAAGTTGAAGTACTTTGGCCACATCATGAGGAGACAGCAAAGCCTGGAGAAGACAGTTATGCTGGGGAAGGTGGAAGGTAAAAGGAAGGGCAAGATGGATGGATGGCATCCTTGAAGTGACTGGACTGACCCTGAAGGAGCTGGGGGTGGTGACGGCCGACAGGGAGTTCTGGTGTGGGCTGGTCCATGAGGTCACGAAGAGTCGGAGATGACTGAATGAATGAACAACAACAACAAGGCCAAAACACCTAGGGACCCACAGGTTGAGGAACCATTGCTCTACCACATTGTGGACCCATTGGTAAATGAAATGGATTCAGTCATATATTGTCCATATTCAGAAGCAGTTAATGAGGGGAAAACCTGCATAGGAGGATGTGAACACAAATGGATGGATACTATAAAGGTTCATGCACAGATAAATGAATGTACGTGTGAAAAAGATCTTGGAGTCCTTGTGGACAACAAGTTAAACATGAGCCAACAATGTGATGTGGCGGCAAAAAAAGCCAATGGGATTTTGGCCTGCATCAATAGGAGCATAGTGTCTAGATCTAGGGAAGTAATGCTACCCCTCTATTCCGCTTTGGTTAGACCACACCTGGAATATTGTGTCCAATTCTGGGCACACAATTCAAGAGAGATATTGACAAGCTGGAATGTGTCCAGAGGAGGGTGACTAAAATGATCAAGGGTCTGGAGAACAAGCCCTATGAGGAGCGGCTTAAGGAGCTAGGCATGTTTAGCCTGAAGAAGAGAAGGCTGAGAGGAGATATGATAGCCATGTATAAATATGTGAGAGGAAGCCACAGGGAGGAGGGAGCAAGCTTGTTTTCTGCTTCCCTGGAGACTAGGACGCGGAACAATCTTCAAACTACAAAAAGGAGATTCCATCTGAACATGAGGAAGAACTTCCTGACTGTGAGAGCCGTTCAGCAGTGGAACTCTCTGCCCCAGGTGTGGTGGAGGCTCCTTCTTTGGAAGCTTTTAAACAGAGGCTGGATGGCCATCTGTCGGGGATGATTTGAATGCAATATTCCTGCTTCTTGGCAGGGGGTTGGACTGGATGGCCCATGAGGTCTCTTCCAACTCTTTGAGTCTATGATTCCATGTTGTATGAGTGTTATGAATATAGATGGGGAGCAGAATTAGATCTATATAGGAATCTCCCACTTATCTAATTGGTTCAGGACAGAAGTGCTGTCAGAAAATATAATACCTTGAAAAAAGGAATACAGTTTATTTTAGCCTGTAAATGCATTTTGGCTGCTGAAAAAAATGTGAATAACACAATATGTATCACTCTGAATGTGTGATAAAGCTAAAAGAACATTCAACCATTATAGAAGGAGGTATCTGCCCTTTTCACAGGCAGGACTTTTCACAGTCCCAAACAAGTCTCAAAGGTAAGAAAAACTGACAAGAGTGGACTCCTCGACAAATAAATGGAATTTCTCTGTAATATGCAAGCATTGGAAGATGAGCCTATGATGTAATGCTTTTAATGTTAGCCGCTTTGAGTCTCTGAGAGAAAAAGTAGGATATAAATCAACAACAACAACAATAGTAAACATGCATAGAAGCAGGATGCAAATATCGAAATATATGGAAAATCTATATAAATAAAAATGTAATGTTCGTTTGTGGGATTAACAGAACTCAAAAACCCCAGGACGAATTGGCACCAGATTTGGACACAAGACACCTCACAACCCAATTTATGTCCTTCACTCAAAAAAAATTGAGTTTGTCATTTGGGAGTTGTAGTTGCTGGGATTTAGGGTTCACCTACAATCAAAGAGCATTCTGAACCCCACCAACGATGGAAATGAACCAAACTTGGCACACAGTTCTCCCATGACCAACAGAAAATACTGGAAGGGTTTGGTAGGCAGTGTCCTTTGGTTTTGGAGTTTTAGTTCACCTCCATCCAGAGAGCACTGTGGACTCAAACAATGATGGATCTGGACCAAATTCTACACGAATACTCAATATGCCCAGATGTGAACACTGGTGGAGTTTGGGGAAAATAGACCTTGACATTTGGGAGTTGTAGTTGCTGGGATTTGTAGTTCACTTACAATCACAGAGCATTCTGAACCCCACCAATGATAGAATTGGGCCAAACCTCCCACACAGAACCCCCATGACCACCAGAGTGGGCCACAGCAACACGTGGCAGGGGATGGCTCATAATATAATATATTGTATATACATATTATTATAATATTATTATAATGTAATCTTCTATACAAATAAAAATGTAATGTTCATTTGTGGGATTAACATAACTCAAAAACCGCTCAACGAATTGACACTAAATTTGGACACAATACACCTATCAGGCCAACGAGAGACCATCACTCAAAAAAACACTGAAAAACACAGCAGAAGAGACTTTAAAAGCCAAAAATAAATAAATAAATACATTACAATGCATGTGCAAAACTACATATATATACGCAAACACACATATATGCACACACAAAGAACATATATACAGACAGGACCACAACAATGTGTGGCAAGGGACGTCTAGTAACTCATAAAACTTAATTTACTCCATTTCATTACTAAATAATGACTGGCATCCTTTTAGTGACTTACACAGAAAGAAATAGAATCAAAGTATCTTTGAAGGGACCACAACAGTTGTATTGTCCAATCGCTCTGCCATAGAGAAACATACACCTCTATTTGTATATTTCATTTTTCCTGCCTAGATGTAGCACCTTACATTCATCTCTGTTCAATGCTCCAGTCAACAAACAGCTAGAATACTTGAGGTATTGAGTAATTCATTCAGTCCAGGTCATTGCAGGATATCTAATAGGATGAAGGGAGAAGAAAAGGGGTGGCTGTGGACTGATCCAGAATGGTACAGCAAGGCTGTAGTCTTGGTAAAGCTAGCAAGTAGTAATAGTTCATAGTCCAAGGTCAAGAAAATGTTAAAGAGTACTGCCAGTGACCAAGAAAGAAAGCTGCTAGGGGAGTTGCCTGGGAGATTTATAGGCAGCTGTCAGAAGACACAAAGTGCCTAATTAGGCCAGCATCTTCTACTTAGTAGACAGACAAATGCAAGATACTCCACTTAGGCAGAAAAATGAAATGCAGATACAGAATGGGGGACGCACCGAACGGGGATTCGGGATGGCTTACATTTAGTAATGATGCAATGCCGCTACATAACAATTACAATAATATAACCACAATGAAATACATAAAGCCATCATTAAAAACAATGCATACAGCATTAATTAAAAAACAGTAAAACAATATCATAGTATCATCAGCCGTAACGACATTCCAGTCAATGTCCAACTAAAGTGCTAATGATGTCTGCTGTCCTAAAGTCTGGTCCCAAAATCATGATTTTAATTTCTTCCTGAAAGCCAGGAGGGATGGAGTCAATCTTATCTCATTTGGGAGCACGTTCCATAGGCGGGGGGGGGGGGGGGCACAGCCAAGAAGGCCCTGTCTCTCATTCCTGCCAAACGCATTTGTGATGTTGACAGAAGTGAGAGCAGGGCCTCCCCGGATGATCTTAGATTACGAGAAGGGATGTAGCGGCAGATGCGTTCGGACAAGTAAGCTGGTCCAGAACCTTATAGAGCTTTATAGGTCAAAACCAGCACTTTGAATTGGGATCGGAGATTGACTGGCAGTCAGTGGAGCTGACATAACAGGGGGGTGGTATGTTCCCTGTATGTCGTTCCACTTAGTAATCTGGCAGCCGCCCATTGGACTAGCTGGAGTTTCCGAACCATCTTCAAAGGCAGACCCACGTAGAGTGCGTTGTAGTAATCTATTCAGGATGTAACCAGCGTGTGGACAACCGTAGCCAGATCAGACTTCCCAAGGTACGGGCACAGCTGGCACACAAGTTTTAACTGTGCAAAAGCTCCCCTGGCCACCACCGAAACCTGGGGTTCCAGGCTCAGCAATGAATCCAGGATCACTCCCAAGCTGCAAACCTGCGTCTTCAGGGGGAGTGTAACCCCATCCAACACAGGCTGTAACCCAATAATAATAATAATAATAATAATAATAATAATAATAATAATAATAATCCTTTATTTATATCCTGCTACCATCTCCCGCAGGACTCGGTGCGGCTTACAAGAGGCCGAGCCCAAAATACATCAAAACAAAAAACATAACCACAACAATACCATACAGCAATAAATAACTCATAGCAAAGCAAAAACAATAACAAAATATCACTACACAATTTAAAAACCTGGCAGGGCCAAATGTAAAGATTAAAAAAAATTAAATGCTGGGCATGACCAGGTGAAAAAGGATGGATATTTTGGGGGGTAAGTGGGTGTGCAGACACTTCTAACTCTCTCGTAAAGTGCATTTGG